GGAGAGGCAGAGGCCATCAGCTAAGGTACACTCGCGCCCTCAGCCAACGCCAGACGTTGTGCCTTATGCCGAGCACCCTTACTAAGCAGCGTGCGAATCCTAGTGCGCAGCTCAACTAAGCTGGATTCTGTGCTTCGTAAGTCGTGGATCTGACGCATTAACCGAAGCCTATTGTCAGCAATCGCCATGCCCCCATCATCCCCTGCCTGCCTGCACCGGTAAAGTTGTAATTGCATTCGGAGAATGTCGTGTGCCCTGCGACAACCACTGGCGTCAAGAAGTCGGGACTTCGATTGCCAACCTTTCGTCTTGGTCAACCGTTCACGAGTGCTCTCATGGTTAGACCTCGTTAATCTCAGAACGACTTCTGCAGCCTCTCTTTTCACAAGTAATCCAGAATCAAGCAGGCACCTCAAAATCTGAAAGCTAGCAGATGTCCGAGTGACTCTCCAAAGATATGCATCACCACTTTTGCGAACTGTTGTTGGTAAGTCTGGGCACTCTCGTTGAATAAACCGTCGGATTGCATGCAACACCTCGACATGTTTTTGCCACATCGACAGAGAAACTTGCACGTACACCGGGGATAAGTGGATACAGCCTTCAGCATCAAAGAAGCCTGCAAGGTACGACCAACCACTGATACTTTCCATGTGCTGAGTCGACTGCTTCAAGCTGCGAAGTCGCTTTGCAAGCGTGGCCCTTTCATCGCGGCAATGCGGCTTCTCGCCAGCAATGATCTGCAGCTGCTGTTTCTTGATTGACTCCATACTCGCCAAAATCCCTGCAGCTACTCGAGCATTGTGCCCGTGGATTCTCCAAATGCAACATCTCTGCTTGTAGTCAGCACAACTGCGAATGCTCCCACCGAAAAGATCGCGGAACAATAACAAGACAGATGCACCATCATATAATTGAGCTATGCTTAAGGTCGCACCGCTGAGATCAGAGTTTGAGGACGCACAACCGTCACCGTCAAAGAAACCGACACAATACTCAAGCTCGTGTCGTGCTGGGGCCCTGTAACTGGATTTCCCCCGACTGGGCAACAGTGGCAATTCATACACCTTTCCGTCTACCTTGAAACATGACTTCTTCGGCAAAACCAGACGATCAAAATATGTTGCCAAACGGTCACGTCGCCGTCGCAAGCGAGCCAAAGTCGCAATGGCGCCTTCAACCTCCAGGACATCCCGCGCCCAAACAGGCAGATCGCTCACTACCGCAAACCGTCGGCGGCATATCAATCTGTGCCGAATGCAAGAAATCATCGTCGACGACGCTCGCCGACGGACCCTAACACTATCAGAATGATATCTTGAGCGTTGGGTCAACACGGCTTCAACCAAAATGGCCACGGCCAAATGTTTCCCGGAGATGCAGGACACAGAAAGGACTAAAGAGAAGCCGGGCCAATAACCCGGAGAAGCAATTAAGGAACCCCCCGGCGTTATCATTAGCACCGCGCCGTAATTAAATAATTATTTGGGGGGGTTTTCGCCGAGCGATATTATTAGCACCGCGCAAATGGAAGGAAAATAAATAATTCCAGCGCCCCGCCTCGGGTGGCATCCCAATTAGAATTGTAATGAGAATAAAAATACGAATACGAATAAGGAAAAGCTGAGAAAAGCTAAGGAAAAGCTTAGAAAAGCTAAGAAAGTGTACCCCCTCCTGGTGCCAGGATAACGCTTCCGGGTGCCGGAAGCGTTATCCTTTCACTGGAGAGGGGGGGGGGGGGGGTCCTTAATCGCTTACTCGGGTTAGACTTGCTGGGACGATGTCCCCGCGACCATCCTGGCGCTCCTCTCTCCGGGGCGACAGTGAAAATTAATCAACAAGATAACCCAAATTCAAGAAACCCAACCCTGAAATCAGCCGAAGTTTCTCAGCCCAAGGTTGGATTTCTTGCACTTCGGCTGGGAAGAAAGAAACCTGGGGCGGGGGAGCTGGGCAGGAGTCCGGCCAACCATCCCCCCACCTCCCGCATCGGATCACGAGAACCTTGGACGTTGGGTTTTTCTGGTTATCTCACATGTCTGCAAATTCCTTTAGTAGTCTCACAAGTGTCGTGAACCAATCAAGTCCAACACGGGAACCAACAATCCTTGTGACTCTCTCAAAAAACCAAAAGGCTTCGCGAGAGGGAAATGGCCCCTCCTCCTCCATCCCTGTCTGTCACTCTTTCTTTTTTTTTTGTTTCTCTGTCTCTCTCCCTCTCTCTCTCTCTCTCTCTCTCTCTCTTTCGTCTTCAGACAATAAGAATTAATACAAATCGGTAGGAATCAATAGGAATCAAAAGGAATATGTAGGAATCAATAGGAAACAACATGAGTCAATAGGAATCACTAGAAATCAAAGGGGACCAATAAGAACGACTAGGAAATCGGAACCAGGAGGAGCCAATAGTAACCAATAAGAATCACTAGAAACCAATAGGAATCAATAATGATCACGTGAAATCAATATGCAACAATCCGGATCGATAGGAATCAAGAATCATCATTCGGAATCAGCAGGATCAACGAGAACCAATAGGAATCAAACCAATCCACCCAAACAGGAACATTATCATCGCTGTGACTCTCTCCAAAAAACCAGAGCACCGCTGTCGACAAGAAAACTCGGTAGTCAAGGAGAAGAAACAACATGAGGATGTAGGTACATGTGGGGTGCACCATACATGCATAGACACGAGTACGTGTTCATTCATTCATATATATATATATACACATATAGCTGTATACATGTATGCGTGTATGTATATGTGTAAGTAAATGTAAACATGTGTACACAAACAAACAGATACATGTCAGCATCAAATGAGAAAGAGAGAGAGAGAGTGAGAGACGAAGCGAGAAAGAGAGACAGAGAGAGAGAGAGAAAGAGACCAAGAAAGCAAAACAGACAACACACACACACAAAGCAGCGAGGCGTGCGGGGCAGCCGCAGCTCCTGGCGGCGTCGAGCACCCAGACGTCGCCCAGCGCCTCCCCGGAGGGCGCGGCGCCTCCGCAGAGCACCACGGCCTGGGGCTGGCAGAAAATGGCTACGACGGCTCCGCCCGCGCTGATCCGGAGGCGCTCCAGGCACTCCTCCTCCTCCTCCTCCTCCTCCTCCTCCTCCTCCTCCTCCTCCTCCTCCTCCTCCTCATCCATTCTCGTCCTCCTCCTCCTCGTCCTCCTCCTCCTCCTCCTCCTCCTCCTCCTCCCTTGTTCTCCTCCTGCTCCTCCTCCGAGACCCCTCCTCCTCCTCCTCCTCCTCCTCCTGCTCCTCCTCCTCCTCCTCCTCCTCCTCCTTCTCCTCATCACCATAATCCTCATCCTCTTCCACCTCCTCTTTCTCCTCACTTCTCCCTTTCATTCTCCTCCTCCTCTCCTCCTCCTCCAGCTCCTTCCTCTCCTCCTCCTCCTCCTCTTCCTCCTCCTCCCTCCTCCTCCTCCTCCTCCTCCTTCCTCCTCCTCCTGCTCCTTCTCCTGCTCCTGCTGCTGCTGCTCCTCCTCCTCCTCCTCCTCCTGCCTCCTCCTCCTCCTTCCTCCCTCCTCCCTCCTCCTCCTCCTCCGTCGTCTCCTCCTCCTCCTCGTCCTCCTCCTCCTTTTTCTCCTCCACCTCCTCCTCCTCTCCTCCTCCTCCTCCTCCTTCTCCTCCTCCTCTCTCCTCCTCCTTCCTCTTCTTCTTCCTCCTCCTCCTTGCCTCCTCCTCCTCCTCCTCCTCCTCCCTCCCCCCCCTCCAACTCCTCCTCCTCCTCCACCCTTCTCCTCCTCTTCCTCCCTCCTCCGCCTACTATTATTAGGATTAGTATTATTATCATTATTATTAATAATATTGTTGTTATTATTATTATTTGTATTAGTATTATTAGTAGTATTAGTATCATCATCATCATCATTATTATTATTATTATTATTGTTGTTATTATTAGTATTATTATTGTTGTTATTATTATTTTTAGTATGAGCATTATGGTTAACATTATTATTATTGTTATGCTTATGAATATGAGTATGCTTATTATTCTTATTATTATGAGTTCTATGATTATTATTGTCGAGCCGAGGCGACTCGAGCGAAGTTCTGAGTCAACCTCTCCTTCCTCCCTTGCTGCCGCTTCCGCGGCTATGTGGGATCGAGGAGGGGGCCCCCTCTTTTGTGCAGAGAGCGCGGCAGACACGCTCGCCGGCACGGGCCGGCGCCAGATGCTCGACGGACGAGCCCAGCACAACACATCGTGCACAACACATCGTCGACGTTAATCACGACATTGGTATAGCGGAGCTAGATCCACGGACGAGTTCTGGCATTCCTGAAGGGACCAGAACATCATGGAGCGGGACGACAAGAAAGCCAAGGATGCCATCCCAGAATGGGACGGCAACCCTGGGCGGTGGAGACACTTCGAGACGGCTGTGAAGTGGTTCCCTCGCACGCTCAAGCGGCAGGAGAGGGACCTGGCGGCGAACCGGATCATTGGACGCATGCTGCAGAGCAAGACGATAGCGATCAGGACGTTTGCGACCACTCTGGATCCGGACCGATATGAGAATCCGAATGGCCACCTCCTCCTCTTGGACGACCTGAGGAGCAGCCCGCTAGGGAAGCTTCCGATCCCGGACGCAGCCCACAAGATCAAGCATTACTACAAGGATTTCAAGCGGCGCAAGGGCGAGACGGTGGGCGCGCTCTTGATCCGGGAGCAGGACTGCTACTCGGAGATGGTCCAGGCGCTGGAGCGCCTCCTCGAGGAGATGGGCGACAATGACAAGTTCAAGCAGTGCCAGGAGTGCTTCGGCTACTTCGAGCGAGGACAAGGCGCTGCTGGACGTGGACAATGGTACTGCCAGAAGTGCTGGGACACCTAAGACGGCAACCCCGACACCCCGGCGACGGCAGCAGATGCCGCCCCTGCCGAGGAAGCAGAAGAAGCAGATGAATATGAACGACACTCGACGACGTCTCGCTCGCAGGGCTCTCGAACATATCGTTTTCACAGACAAGAATCCATGGCAAGCAAGCTCAAGGTTTCGGAGGCGATGGCAGTGGGCTCTACTTTCTTCGGCCACGCCTCCGGAGTCCTGAAGGTCCTCCGCGGCTTCTTCCTGCTCGAGGCGATGGACTTCACCGAGAAGGAGAAGCAGGACGTCCGCGTGGTCACGCAGAACCGCTTGGACTTCGACGCGATCTCCAAGGCCTTGAAGGAGCGCTGGGAGGACAAGGCGCTGGTGCAGCGGGACTTCGGACCGAGGGCTATGCCTCGGTACGGCCCGGAGGCGGGCCAGCAGTCGGCCCTCGCCGCCGAGTTTGATGATGTACACGGGCCTGATTGGTACGATGGCTACGCGGCGGCGGTCCAGGCGTGGGAGAACGAAGGGTACGACCACCACGAGGACGAGGACGACTACGATATCGAGGAGGAGCCGCAGCTAGCCTCAGAGCCGGAAGGGTCCGAGGCCGTGGATGAGGATCTCAACCACCTCAACGAGGAGCTCGAGGCGGCCCAGGCGATGGCGGCAGAGGCGTCACGCACTCTAGTTCAAGCCAGACAAGCAGTGGCCGCCGCACATAAGGATCGAGGTTTTGGCAAGCCACCATCGGGTCCAGGAGGGAAGAGCCGCCTTCCTCCGTCGTGGCCGCACCAGCAGCCCTCGAGACCGCCGTTCACGGGTCGAGGCCCGAAGGGCGGTAAGGGCGGCAAGGGCGGCAAGTACCGCGACAGGGACCGCGACCAGAAGGGCAAGAATGCGAACTACCTGGAGTTTCACACGATCACGCACGGGTTCGACGAGCTCCAGGGTATGTACCAGGCAGAGCAGAACGACAGCGGCCTCGCCCCTTCTGAGGCCATGGTTGATTGCGGGGCTTCCGCGTCCGCCGGAGGCGAGCGCGCAGTCCAGGCACTGGTTGCCGCCGTTGCGGCCGCGAACCCCCAGGCCAGGATCGAGATCAACCAAAATGAAAGACCGTGGTTTCGTTTCGGAGACAATAAGTGGGGCAAGGCACTGTATAAGGTTTCGGTCGAGTTCGAGCCGGGCTTCGTTTTGGGCATCTTCGCTCTCAGTCCTGGTGTACCTCTCGTTTTGTTGGGAATGACTGCTCTGGAGTCGTGGCCGGCAATCGTGAATTTCCGAACCGGGGAGGCGGTGATCAGGGGCCAACTGGTGCAGCTTCGCAAGACCCCAGTCAAGGGCCATTGCATCCTCGATCTGGTGAAGCACGTTTCCGAGATCTTAAACCCGACCGAGCAAAACACCGAGGGTCTTGCAAAGGCGTTTCAGAGATGGTCTATGGCGAAGACAACATCACCACCATCAGCATCATCTCAGACAAGAACGACACCATCAGCATCATCTCGGACAAGAACGACATCATCAGCATCATCTCAAACAAGAACGACATTATCAGCATCATCTCAGATAAGAACGACACCATCATCAGTACATGCAGCTATGACGACAACACCGCCAGTGATAACAGCAACATCACCTCCATCAACAATAACAGGAAGAGCAGCTCCATCATGGTCATCTCCTCCTCCGCCGTCTTTTGGCTCTAGAACTCGCTCAGAGCGACTTCCGACAATCCGCAAGCCGGCGTTTCAGCCAGCACGTTTTCATGGAGGGCAAGGACGAATGGGTACCTGTCGACATGGATGCCGACAAGAAGGAGGAGGGCGCGGAGGTAAAGTCACCTTCGGCGGCAGCGAGCTCCGGACCTACGACCCAGGTCAAGCGGGAGTTCGTCTTCAACGGCCAGAAGATGGAGTACGTCACCTCGGAGGGCAAGGTCAAGGAGAGAGATCCGGGCAGCACGCACCAGGGTCGCAAGAAGGAGAAGCAGATGGAGATGGACCCGGCGTTCGCGCTGCAGGCGGACCCCCGCGACCCGAGGACCACACGGGGACCGTGCGGCAAGATGCATCGCAAGTACTTCACGGTCAACAACCAGTGGGGCCAGACCAGGACATGCTATCGGTGCGGGCTGAGGCTGCTCTACATCCCGACGACGAAGGCGCCGATGACGAACCTTAGCATGCAGCATCCGAAGTTGGTGGAGTCCGGCCTGGAGTTGGTGCGGCACTGCAACCTGTGGGAGACGGCCAATCACGAGCAGGTGACCGCGATGATCAACATCGCCACCTCCCTCCGGAGGCTTCCCGGGACCGAGATCCGCCACGCGCCGGACGCGCTGCTGGAGATGCTGGGGGCAGCGAACCCCAGGCGCAAGGCCCAGATGGCGGAACCAATACCCGGGCAGGTCTGAGCCGGGTGCCGAGGCAGCTTCTGGCTGCCGGACGCCGGAGGTCGCTACTCGCAGGACTGGCCTTGGTCATGACCGTGGGCACGATCACCGAGGCGGTGGAGATCTGCTGCCATCCCAACAGCATGCTGACCGACGAGTGCACCAAGATCGGCCTCAGCATGGAGAGGATCAGCATCGAGAACGGTTACAACCTCAGCACGAAGGCGGGGTTCGAGGCTGCTGGCAAGAAGCTGGACGAGGTGATGCCGAAGCGGGCTTGGATATCGCTACCATGCACGCTATGGACTTCGCTCACGAATTTCAACTACAAGACCCCAGAGGCACGTGCACGCCTAGAGAAAGACCGACTTCGAGACCGACGACGTGTGAAGTATGGAGTTCTCCTGTTGCTAAAGATTGTTGACAACGGAGGCGAGGTCTACTTCGAGTGGCCCCACAGGTGCCAAGGCTGGAAGATTCCCGAGCTCAATTTTCTTCGTATGGAGTTGAGGCGTCGGGGCCGACACGTCTTCGAGGATTGGATCGACGGGTGCATGTACGGCCTCAGGGACTACAACACCAACGAGCTCGTCGAAAAGGGCTGGAGGATCCTGACCACCGACCCGGAGTTCTCCAAGGTCGCGACCGTGTGTGACCATTCACACGGTCACCGAGTCATCAACGGGAAGCAGCACACCGCAGCCACCGCCTACTACCCGCAGGCGATGTGCAAGGCGATCGCCCGGCTGTGGCATGCTCAACTCCGGACACCGATCGACCTCAACATGGCCCTGGAGAACCCTGCTGTCCTAGACCTCGAGAATACCTACCTGATGGAGCGGGACACCGGGAGCATCTACGTCGCTGAGCCCACGGATCTCGAGAGGGAGCAGGTGCGCGCGATGTTGAGCAGGATCCACAAGGCTGCAGGCCACCCAGGGAACGAGCACTTGGCGTACTGGTGCAAGAAGCGGCAGTGTCCACGCTGGATCATCGAAGAAGCGATCAACCTTCGCTGCGAGGCGTGCGACCTGGTCAAGCATGGCCTCTCCCACAAGGTCAAGGCGAGCCTCGACATCCCCATGGCACCTTGGCAGGCAGCCGTCATGGACGTTTCTGACCTGACGTTCCCGGACTTGAATGTGAAGGCCCAGTTTCTCCTCATCGCAGAGGTCGCCACCGGCCTGATGTGCGGGGACATCACTGCGAAGATCGGCCTCAAGGACAAGGGCACCGATTCGTCAGCTACGCTGTTCACGACGTTTGCCAGAGCCTACCTTCAACATTATCCAAAGCCAAGGTGGGTTTTCGTCGATCCTCAGACCTCTTTTGTGGGCGGCGAGTTTAAAGACAACTGCCAGTTGGCCGGCATCGGCGTCTCAGCGAAACCAGGAGGAGCACATTGGATGGCTGGCGACATCGAGCGCCGCATCTCGATCGTCAAGCAGGTGATGAGGAAGCTTCGCCTACAATATCCCAAGCTGAGTCCCGAGACCGTGTTTTACATCTCGATTGCGGCGGCCAACAACATGGACAACATCAAGGGCTACACGCCGATGCAGTGGGCTTTCGGGTTTTCTCCGACCGAGGACCCTATCTTGGCGCACAACGCAGCTACCGGCAAGTTGAAGTCCGACTTCTTCGAGATCGAGCGGGTGCGAGCGGATGCGGAGGCCACCTACCTGAAGGAGAAGGCGTCCAGGAAGATCTCAGAGCTTAAGAACTCAGCCCCACGACCTCGACATGAATATAAACGAGGCGACTGGGTCTGTGTCTGGCGGTCGTATGCCGCGACAGGAAAACGAAAGCTCTCAGGACAGGACTTCTTCACGGACGGCTTGTTCATCGGACCGGGTCGGGTCTTGTTCTCCGAGCCGGCGGTTCAGACCGGCAACAAGGACGGCGTGATCTGGGTCATCATGGGCAACCGATGCTGGCGCTGCGCAGCTGAGCAGCTGCGGCCAGCCACGCAGTCGGAGATCGTCCAGATCAACCTGAAGAAGGACGACATCCTCAACAGTCCGCTCGAGGACGTCTGGAGGCACCTCCAGGACTTTGACGACATAGCCGGGGAGCCCTACCCAACGGCAGATGGCATGAGGATGCTACCGCGTCAACCTCTTGAAGGCATGCCGAGGGTGATCGAGAACCCCGATGTGGCCGTGGAACCCCACGACGTCACGGAGGCAGAGGACGACCAGGAGGTAGACGAGGACAACTCAGCACCAGAGCCACCACAGATCAAGCGAACAAGATTGAGAGGCAAGACGCCGACTGTGTCGTGGCCACCTGTTCCGACCGAGGCTTTCCAACCGCGTTTTGGGAGATCATCATCAAGAGCCTCAGCTGAAGTTGCTCACGCTGCCCTCTTCCAGGCGGCGAGCGACCACGCGGAAGCCAGCGAGATCGACATTATCAACTTCGTGCAGAATCCGAATAACGAGTCCGAGATGGACCTGATGAAGATCGAGATCGAGGCCGACCTTGAGGAGTTCTGCTTCGATGCGAGCGCGTACTTGGAGAAGCAGCTGAACCGCGTGGCCAACAACAACACGGTCAAGAAGGGCGTGGAGGTTTCGTTTGGCCGCCTGAGCCCCGAAGACAAGCCACTGTTCCAAGAGGCAATGGCACGGGAGCTGGCGGAACATCTGGAAGTACCGACAGTCTGGGCTGCATCTGCTTACGCTGACTACAATCATGGAAAAGATATCCCAGCTGACAAGCTGATCAAGATGAGGTGGCTACTGACCTGGAAGCCTCTGACGCCACCTGAACCGCCGGACAAGTCGGACCCACACCCCGTGAGCACGCCGGACGGGAAGTTCAAGGCGAAGGCCCGTATCATTCTGTTGGGCTTTTCACATCCGGACCTTGTCAGTCGAGACAAGTTCGGAGATCGGGTACTTCCTACGGCGTCGCCAACAATTTCAAGAAAAGGGAAGCTGGCACTCCTCCAGATGGCTGCTTTTCACGGCTGGACCTTCGAGCTAGCCGACGCGAAGTCTGCCTTCCTGCAGGCCGGGCACACTGAGGAGTGGAGGAAGCTCTATACCAAGGGCGTGAAGGAGCTTCGGCAGGCCTTGCAGATCAGCGAAGAGGAGTCCATGCGAGTCCTGGCGGCGATCTACGGGATCACGAATGCGCCGTGGGTCTTCTGGAAGTATGTGGACCACAAGATCCACGAGGCAGGAGGCAAGAGTGTCCTCATCGAGCCGTGCATCTGGATCATTCAGGATCAGGACGGCACCGTGTGCGGGGTCATCGGCTCGCACGTGGACGACTTCGGCATCGCGGGCGACAGCGACAACAAGTTCTACCTCGACATGAAGAACATGCTGAAGGAGATGCTGCGGTGGTCTCCATGGCGAAGCACGCCGTGCATGTGGGCAGGCATGTGGATCACACAGGAGCCGTCGGGTAAGATCCATGCCAGCCAGGAGGAGTTCTGTCACCAGCTCCTCGAGATCAGGGTCGAGTCCGGCAAGTATCTCTCGAAGGATGACAAGCTCAAGCCGGAGGACGTCACCCAGTTCAGGGCGGGCCTGATGAAATGCCAGTGGAGAGCGACACAGACAGCACCGCAGTTCTCGTGCCGGGTGTCACTGTTGGCTCAGCGGGTGAACGAGGCGACGTTCGGGGACCTGAAGGACACGAACGCCCTCATACGCGATGTGAAGCGGACAGCTCGTGACTCTTTGGTGTTCCACAACTTCAACAGTAACTGCGGCGGTAAGCTGAAGTGGGACGACCTAGTGATTGTGACGTGGGTCGACGCAAGCAGGCTACTCCAACGAGGCGGCTACATCGTGGGTTTCACGACGGCCGAGATTCTCAAGCAGAAGGAATGTGCAGTCTCTATCGCCGACTGGAGATCGTACAAGCTCAAGCGCACCGGCATCGGCACCAATGGCTGCGAGGGCCAGGCTCTGTACGACGGAGAGAACGCCGCGTACTTAATGCGCTTGCTGTGGTCAGTCATGCACGGAGTTCCAGTTACCGCGCACACCCAGGAGGAAGTGGCGCAATCTATGACCTCAGTGCTGGTGATCGACAGTCGGGGAGTTTACGACTCGGTTCACAACAAGGAGAGCTTCGGCATAGGCCTGAGCGACGCGAGGACCGGCGTGGAGGTGTTGCACGTGAAGGCGAACTGCGGGCCCGAGAAGAATCAGCACCTGGTCTGGGTGCCCTCGGACCTCAACCTCACCGACGGCCTCACGAAGGACAGTCCTGAGGCTAGGAAGCCTCTGGCGCTATGGCTTGCACGGCGCACCTGGATCATCAGGTACGACGAGGATTTCATGTCAGCCAGGAAACGACAGCGAGCTAACAAACTCGCTCAGGACAAGCCGCAGCCGACTACTGACGCTGAAGCCGAGGCCGCCGACGCTTTAGCTTTTCTCGACCTATCTTGAGGGTAGTGTCGGGCTCATTCTCAGAACCCTTTTCCACATTTGTACTGTGCAGGGCCCTCCTTTGATCCAGTTCGGTCGGAACGGTTGAGAAGGATTTTAGGCTCATGTCGAGCCGAGGCGACTCGAGCGAAGTTCTGAGTCAACCTCTCCTTCCTCCCTTGCTGCCGCTTCCGCGGCTATGTGGGATCGAGGAGGGGGCACCCTCTTTTGTGCAGAGAGCGCGGCAGACACGCTCGCCGGCACGGGCCGGCGCCAGATGCTCGACGGACGAGCCCAGCACAACACATCGTGCACAACACATCGTCGACGTTAATCACGACAATTATTACTATTACTATTCTTATTATTGATACTACCAGTATTGTTCTTAGTATCATAATCCTTCTTCTTAATATTATAATGGTTAGTAGTGGCAGTATTCGTCTTCTTCATTTATTATGATGTATTCGTATTCGTACTAATACTAGTATTCGCATTCGTCTTCTTAGTCTTAGTCTTATGTTAAGTATGAATACACTCATGCTTCTTCATATTATCCTCACTCCTCCTCCTCCCCCTTACCGAATCGATCCCGCATTCGAAACAGCAGCCGCGTGGGTGTAGCCAATGGAATCCGGCTAGGATCTTGCTGGGTTCATGTTGCAGCCTTCTGGGGTCCTCATTGGGATCCGATTGGGGCCTTGTTGGGATCTGATATACAGATATACACATGTATACCTACATCTAGAACGTGGGAGAGGAACAGCAAAAGCAAATCCGCCGCCGTGCCCTGAGGCACGAGTTGGAGTGTTCTCAGGTGCCTTCGAGCTCTCTCTAGTGAGTTCTGCTGATATTCTCGAAGGGGACCACAGGCCAGAGTTCAGGGCGCTCTCGGGCGCTCCTGGGGGTCCCAGTTTGACTTTCCCAGGGGCTTGTTCGGGGCGCATGTCCAACATTGTTTCAGATCGCCTTGGGAACGTCCTCGAGCCCTCTTCGGAGCCTCTTGGGCCGTGTTGGAGGCCCCGAGGCCCAACTCGTGCAAATCAATAGTTTGATCTGTAAGGTTTTCGAATCACCACCTTTTCGGTCTTCAAAGCGTCCCAAACGACCGAAAAAGCAAGATCGCCCCAAAACGGCACAAGAACCCCAAAGAGGGGCCCAAGAGGACCCAAAGACGTCCCAAGAGGGGCCCAAGAGGGGGAGCACGAATTGAAATGTTGGAGCCCTCCGCCCCAACATGGCCCCAAGAGGCCCAAATCAGGCCGAAAGAAACCGAGGCATCCGAAAGGCCTCTCACCTACATCCCAGACGCGGCGGCGGGATGGGCCGAAGGTAATACGCATTATATCTATATATATACATACATATACATATATATATATATACATACATACATACATATATACATCGCCGTGACAAAAGTGTCTTTCAAAATGCCTCTTGAAATGACGCGCTCTTGCGGAGTAGTTCGGGGTAGTTCTTCTAAAACTACTTCGCGCGCAGTCGCATCCCGGTCGGTAATTTATATGGTTTGGCGCGGAGTAATTTCCGATCCCGCTTTGGGGTAGCAGAATTATTAACGTATCCAGGATCGCAAACTACTCCACCGAATCATCTCAGCATCATGTCATGCTAGGAATATTGAGAGGGATGGGATAAATCTTCGTCATAACAAATTGATTTGTTGTCACGGCTGCGCATATATATATATATATAAATGTATATATATGCCGTATGTATGTATATATATACACATATATATACATATATATGTATATGTATATATACATGTATATAGAAATCAGAAAAACAAGGAAGCTCTGAATGGGATCCCGCACTGAAGGGCCGGGGGGCGGGATACGATGGGCGAAAAACTGAATAGTTTCACCAAAAGGGGGGGGGGGGGGGGGGGCGATACGTGTTTTTCCCGGATGACATTGGGCGGCTCAGTGGTTGGCACCAACATCATATACGCGGCTGCGTCCACCAGGGAACCGCGACCCGGATCTCGGTGATGGTGGTGCTAGTTTGGCTTTTCCGGTGGCCACAAGAGTACCACCAACGCCAAAGTCTAGGATAATCGACCCCCGGTGGACACATCCCTGCCTCGGTGTTGGTGCCAATGCCCAGACCTCCGGCACCTCTCGGAGGTCCACGCACACCTCGCGAAGCTTCTGTATACCTGTTTTCCTCTTCCTTTGCTGCGCAAGGAGGGTAAGCAAAAAAGGTGTTCGCATTCGAAAACAAACTGCTCGCGTGCTCTGCTCCTGTGCCGTTCTTAAGAGGCTTCCTAGATGGGGTCCGAATATACGAGGTCGGAAGATCTCGCCGCATCGCCGATACATCGGCGATGCATCGTTGATGCATCGGCCATGCAGTGGCGGCGTCGGCGATGCATCCGCGACACCGCCGTGGAGAAAATTCGGCCCCACGTCGAGCCGCATCTACGATGCATCGGCGATGCGGTACGATACTCCGACCCCATCAGCTCCGACCCCATCTATTTCGAGCGCGAAAGATACCCGTACCTTTACCTAGACAGAGGGTGGCAAGGGGCCGGGGGGGCGGTTCGTCGCAGCTGACGGCGGCTGCACAAGTGTAGAAACGACAGCCGATCGAGCATTACAGACCGATGTCTTCTCGGGGCGCACGTTAGCACCGATCGCACGTGCGTTCGAATCGGCGGAGTGCCCGACCCTGCGTTGGTTGCTGTCGATGTAGACCAACTACTGCGGAGACACGCCCCCAGACACACATCCGGGCGTTGAGGAGTCAACGCGCACTCGGGGGCGCATGCGAACAACTCTGGCGCGAACGTCATTGCGCGACAACCGCCCTATCGCGGATTGCTCGATGCAGAGACATCGCGAATCTGCGCCCTGGGCGAGGTCGCCAGAGGTCGCCCCCCTTGGACGGCCGTCCGCGGATCACCACAGCTAGGTACGGTTGCCCCATGAAAACCAAAACCATTCCCGCATCTAGCCGGGGTGCCGCAACTCCACCCCAGCTAGGTCCGGGTATGTTTCGGCGGTTTCAGGCAGGTCCCCGTACCTAGCCGAGGTGGCGGCAGGCCCAAAACGCTCTCGAGCACATAGCATGCCCTCCAGAGCCGTCCCCGACGTGGCCGCTGCGGCCCTCTGGGGGCGCGACATTGCAACGTCGTTCCTCAGGGCAGGCCCAGACGCATTGGTTGCCAGGATAGAGAGGAAATGCAACTCTTTATCGGTTGGGACAGGCGCCACCACATATGGGCGGCTTTGAGCCGCGCACGCACCACGATGCCCCGAGACGTCCCTAACAAAAACCAGCGCTTGTCGCTGCAATCAGACACCCAACCATCGAGCGCGCCGTTGCGTCTTGACGCGCGGATGCTGCACTGGCGCGCGCGGGGCAAGCTGACCGGGCACAATAGCAAGCGCCCAGTCTCCCGGACGGCCACTCTCACCTTGGCTGGCCCCGGGTACGGGTATCTTTCGGACCAATGAATCCAGGAAGCCTAAGAATTCCTCTGCTGCAGGAGGAGGGTAAGCAAGAAAGGTGCTCGCACTCGAGAGCAAAAATGCACGCGTGCGCTTCCCGCGTGCCGTTCTCACGCAGCGGCAGTGCTGGTCCGCCCTGTGCCTTCCCCAAGAGAGGCGCAGCGTGGCGCAGCCGAGCTAGCGGACATCTGGACGGAGGACGAGGACAGGCCGACAGCGATAGCCAGAGAGCCGCCGGGCTCAATTAGAGGCCTCCTAGATGGGTTCCGAATACATGGGGTTGAAGGATCGCGCCGCATCGCCGATGCATCGCCGATGCGTCGGCGATGCATCGGCGATGCATCGGCGACGTCGGCGATGCATCGGCGACGTCAGCGTGGCGAAACACGGGCTCCACATCGAGCCGAATCGTCGATGCATCGGCGATGCGGCGCGATCCTCCGACCCTATCTACTCGGAACCCATCGAAGAGGCCCGGAAGAGAGCCGCCGGGCCCTTTTCTTGAGCGCGGAGACCCAAACTTTGAGCCCAGCGGCTCACATTCTGAACCCGGCGAGCCTCCAGACGTCACGGCGGTCGCTTTTGCAAGGGGCGCGAAGGCGCACCTCCAGGAGACCGAGCGCAGAGAAAGGAGGACGCCTGGAGGGCTAAACCCAGACCCCTGCACCACGATCCTCTCACACTGGGACCCCCCCGAAGTCTCGACTCCTTTCCTCGGGCCTGAGTCGTCATTCCCTGACACCGTCTCGCCAGAGGATTCTACGGAAACTCGGGAAAAGAACACATAATAGTCCCACAAGGGGGACGACGAGTCGGAGGACGTTTGGTCCGGCAACCGTTCGGTCTGAGACGTCCTCGCGATAGATTCAGGAATCAATGCCGGCCGGCTACATGGTTGGTACAAACGGCCACGGTCCCTCGTAAAACATACAGTAAGGTGCACATGACCTTGCGTTTCCTAGGAATTTGCAGAATGACATCGGAATACACATTTTCGCGAGCCGACCTCCCACTCCTCGACCAGCCTCTTCACCTTTGCTGATCTCAAAATGCTTTGCTAGTTTGTATCCGCCACCGTGCCCCTTGGCATGTTGAGGCGTGGAAGAATGCCAAGGTCTGTCTTGTAGGGACTTGGATTCTAATGAGGGGCCCTCCCGTTCTCTATGCGCAGACTCTTCGTGCATCGTCCCTCCTTTTCGAGGCCATTTCTCTCGCGCCCGCTCTAGGATGGTGCACTTCCCGCATGGCAGCCAATGCCTAACCAGCTTTCCACGCGTGCAAGCTCAAGGATTGCGCACTTCCCGCATGGCAGCTAATGCCTGAACCCTCATTCCATGCGCGCTGCTCAAGGATTGCGCACTTCCCGCATGGCTGCTAACTCTCATCCCACGCGCACTTGCTGGAGGATCGTCCACTTCCCGCATTCCCAGGTGCTGCTCCCACGCGCCGATGCCTCGTTAGAAACTGTGGACATGCTTCCCGAGCGTCCAAGGCGGCCCGTGCAAGCAACCAAGGACACCAATATGGCATTGATTCAAGACG